GTATATAAGAAATATTTATCTAACAGAATAAATGAAAGATCCTAAAACATTTTAAAAATGAGTTATAGTTCTTAAAATTACTTATATGCTAACACCTGAGCAAAACATGTACAGTCCCAAAAAATAAATACAGAAGACAAATTCAGAGAAAGAAATGTAATGAGCATGCAGGACCTATTTCCAAAATCACTTTTAAAAGAGCTTAATGATACATTTCCTGTACTTATGCAGTGCTTTTTCAAGTGAGAAAACCCGACTAAAGCACTTTCAGTTATTCACTCATTTACACACTGACCACCATCAGTAGGTGATAGCCAGAACCTGGACTTGAACCCACAACCCTGTGGTTGCAGGACCCTATGGTTGCATCCACCGTCAGCCCGCCCGTCAGACAACTATTGTTTTTCTGGGCAGCAAAATGTCTCACAAAAGGGATCAAAATCAATAACTTTAAAACTCTCTTTCTACCTTAAACTTGGGGTGCAAAAAAATAATTTTGTCAAAAATCTCAATATTTCATTAGACAATATTGGTATCACTTCAAAATACCATTATTGTGATCTTTCATTAGATGATAGTACTGATTTAAAATACATGTATATATAAATGTATGTTCACCCCTCACTGAAGGTACGTTAAATGAGCTGCACAGAAGCAACTAAAATATCCCTGGAAAGACGTGTGGGCCAAATTGTTCCCCAGTCATGTGAGGTGCTGAAAATATCCAACAGAATGAGAAAAAGGATGCTGAAGAAACGTTGACAAGCTGTTTAATCATATGTTAGATTTACTTTTGTTTATTTTTTTTACCAATAATCCTACAAAGTTGAGAACAAAGTCGTAACGTTATGAGAATAAAGTTGTAATATTATGAGAATGAAGTCATCATACCACAACTGGTTTCAGAAAGAAAGCTTGGAGCGTGGACCAGCAGATGACGGCCGACCAGCTCAACCAATCAGTAACCACTTAGACCTACTGCCCAATTAGATGCTGGTGCTAAAAGATTTCCTTATTTGTGAAACCAGAGCCAATGTATAAATTCACATAATGCTCCACATTCCTCATTTTAGGGAAGATGGTATTTCTTGTAATTTTAGGACTTTATTCTTTTAATATTACGACTTTATTCTTGTAATTTTACAACTTTATTCTTGAAATAGAAGAAAGAAAAATTTCTAGCCTGGCCCTTATACTCCATTATACAATCCAAATAATCTTTAAGGATAAATTTATGTGAAAAAAACACATTATAATCAACAGTAGTTTGCATGCTTAAAGGGTTTAAAAAAAGGTCGAAGTGGCGGAGATAGTTGCTGTTTCTTTGTCCTTTGATTTGTAAAGCTTTTGGGCGGAGGGAGGGTCAGTCCAATTCTTATTTGCAGTTTTAGATCAACTTAAGCTCCACAGCTGGCGAGAAAAGCAAAGACCCTCAGAGGGTCATCTAAGGACGACGTTATTACATCACGAAGATGTATTTTTGACAAATTGTTTGGATCCCAATCTGAATTTCTGTAGAGGATCACCAAGTACAAATCAATAGATTTTGGTCTATTTCCCAGCAAACAGATGCATTTGACTCACATAAGGTAAGCAAAATATTATCGGTGTACTATCTGTACGATATTAGATTAAAAAACTAAATATCCGACATGTGCCACTCCACCAATATAATTCACTGAAATATAAGGCACTGTTTTTTGTGATAATTATACCTGCGCCAGTGGGTCACATGCACCCGACTGATGTTTTAAGTATCAGAAACAGATCGCCAAAAGGCCATTTGCAATGACTGCAAAGGACACAAGGGAGAAAACTATATAGTGTCTGTAAGGTCCACGGGAAAAAAATATTGGTATCAGTCATCAACCAGTGGGGTTGTAAAATGTTGGATAAAGGACAATAATCCAATAACATGCATCCCTAATTTCGAATCTATTAAAGCTGCTTTAAGCAACAGTTGATGTTGTTGAACACTCTTTAACCCTGATATTTATGTCTTTATAAACAGAGCTGCTGTTTCCAACAAGAATTTAGAAAAACAAAATGAAGATATTAAAAGAGGCACCACAGTTTATGAACAAATGGGAACTTAGTGTTTATAAAGCCATCTTAAAGCAGGTTCATGCAGCCTACTGGTTTCTAATCAAGATGCAAGGAGCAGTTTGAAAAACAGCAGTAATCTTTCTTTATGCACATGCTAGAGCTTGACCTTTTATTGTTTTGTTTGTAGGTAAAGCACGCAGTACAAGTGAAACAAAATCATAACTCTAAAGTACTCAGGACGTTTTAATCGGTTGTAGCCTTGTGTAAATTTACCAGTTGTTTTAGTTGGAGCAGATGTAAGCTCTCCACTGTAAAGTTCATACCAGAGACCATCAAATCCTGGTTGTTGTTATTTTTATGGAATACTGCTCTGAGTCAGATAATGTTCACACCGTTTTAATCCTTGTAAAATTATTTAAATATGTGCAAATAATGAGCTCCAGAGACAAGGGGAAAGGATTAACTTTAAAAAATCTGTTATTCTTCTCCCTTTTTCCTTTTATTATAGCACATAAAGCCTTTGAATAAACTTTTACCATCTTTGTTCTTACTTTAGGAGGGATTGGTGAAAATCTATTAAACATCAGGGCTCTGTTACTTTCATCAACATGTTAAGCGTTTGATTTCTTGGAATCTGACATGATGATGGATGAGCATACAGCTTGTATTCAAGCTAATTTTTCTTTGGCTTTGTCATCGACTCCATCTGTTTTCAGCTCAGTGAGGCAGACTGGCGACCGTCCAGTAAAGTCTAATCATGTTAATTTTCCAAAGCCGAAGCACAGGAGAAAGAAATTATAACACACTGAAATATCGATGCTGTTGATTCAAACATTCTTGACCCTAAACCCTGTTATGTTTTTTTTTCTTTTGCTCTTTGTTTGGCATGACCACCCATCCATATGGACACTGATACTCTAAACTCAGTGTTTTTTTTATGATTGTGGATCTAATTATTTGAGCCGGACTAAGTCGGGATATGTCATGCTCAGTCCAATGTTGAGCGTTTCATGTTTGTCAGTGGTAAACCACAGTAAATCAGGTCTGTCAGCGCGGTGCCAGCTGAATGTGGATGCGGTGGAGCTGCTGGTGTGGCAGCAGAACAAGCCTTTCTGATGTCGGGCTGCAAATCATACAACATAGTTTGCACCGTTAGTTTGGGTTTCCTCTCCTCTCTGCTGTTGGTATGTTTACTTTGGTGTTAGATTGTGGGGAAACTTCACACCTTTGATCTTTTTTTTTAACTTTTAGATATAAATAGCTGAAATACAAGAAGGAGTTGCGGACACAGGGGGGCTGAATCCTAGAAAGCCTTTCATGCAGCTGTTTTATTTCAAATTTTTATCTCCTGATTAACTCAGTGCAAATTTCATTGCTTTATTTCGCATGCCTACAAAGTTTATTTGATTTGTGGTGCATTTTATGCCAAACGCCTTTGCTCCTGCTCCAAGTCCAAGAACAAAAGGACTTGCATGTGAAAGGAATTCTTCAGACACTGGTTCCAATAACACTTCTCTCTCTGTATGTGGAAAATGTGAGTTAGCCCTCACTGTATGTTATATCTGTAAAGGTGTGTCTTTTTTGTTTTTCTGGTGAGCTCAGTTCCTTTTATTACCCTTTGAAGTATATTTAGTCATTCAGTACAAAGCACCAAAACAGAATTTCAGCTAGATTAAGTATGAAGGAGTATAACTGCCTGCTAAAATTTCCTTTCTTTCCAGCTCATTAAAGCCCTGAACACTTTGAGGGGCCTGAGTGAAAGGGAAACAATCCTAATGACATTTATTTTCAATTTAAGGCAACCTTTTTAGAGAGAGAACAGTTCCAATAAAGATAATTTTGATATAGAAAAGAAATGTTGGAATTATTTAACCCCCATAAAAATACTCATAAACTCCATCTGAACTCCTGCAAACTTTACAGTCAGAGTCTAGGGCAATTAACTGTAATAAATCATAGACAAAATAGATGGTTGTGATTGGTGCAGATTAACTTTTTAAACAATGTCTTATAAAAGATAAATATTGATGAAAAGCAATGATGTAACCACTTTTTTCTCATAATAGCTGTTTTGTATCAAAGTTTTTTACAGCAGCATTCGAGGGTCTTAGTTCCAGAAGAATAAAGTCAAGCAAAAACTCATAAGATAGTCTTAACATCACTGGGGAGGACTTTTTGCACTCTCTTCTTTGCAGAATAGTTTTAATCCTGAAACATTGACAGAGCCAAAACTTTGACTAATCAGTCCTCAGAATATTTTCTGAAAAGTCTTCAGGTTATCAAGATGTTGCCTGGTAATTGTAAAACAGGACTTTGTTTTCTTTTAGGATCAGTAGTGGAAGCTATAGTATATATATATATATATATGTATATATATATATATATATATATATATATATATATATATATACAAATTTTTTGTAGAAATTTGGACTTACCGGTAGATAAATGAGGCCTACAAATCTATAGGTATTGTCCTTTGTTATTTTTTGACCTTCTGGATAAGTTGTTGATGCTCTTTTGTACTATTTTTGGTCTGCCCTTCTCAGGGAAGTTCCTTACTTTTCCATATTTATCCGTTTATGGATGAAGTTTCTCACTGGGGTTTACTCTTAAAGCCTTTGAAAATACTTTGTGACTGAGGTTCTTCCTGTTGAGGTTGCTGTTTTCCCTGCTTTGGCCCTCAGGCTCTTGTGTTCTGACTTCATTTTTGTCTGCTTCATATCCATGAGGGGCAGGTCTGTGGCTACTCACGCCTGCTATTGAACATTCTTACAGAGAAACCTCATTTATACAAGCATGCTCACGCTTAGACACACAGTTGTTTGGATTCAGGAGGTTATAGATCAAAATATTCCATAAAGTAGAATGTTGATAAATGCTGTGATTCATTTATTTATTGTACCCTAAAATATTCTTACCTGTTATATTTCATAATTTTATTTTGTCCCCAGCAGGTGTATCCATGCAGTAACGACAAGGAGTGCAGTGTTGGCAGCTACTGCCACAGCCCCCAGCATGCTCCGTCTCGCTGCCTGTCCTGCCGCAGGAGAAAGAAGCGCTGCCATCGAGATGCTATGTGCTGCCCTGGGAACCGCTGTAGTAACTGTGAGTGAGCACAAAGACACTTTTATTGAATTTCATTTTGAAATGAATATGCATTTAATGCCAATATTAAGATCTTGATTTTTCACCTTGGGTTTTTATAACCAAAGTTACTTTGTCTAGAAACCCACTGCTTCTTTAACATCAAGTCCCAGTCTGTTTTATTTATGAAGCAAATTCTCATAACAAGTGCATAAAAATATGATAAATAAAGGACATTTACCCTAAAACATATATTAATTAAACTCCTTTGTTATGAAGGCTTTCACAATTGAGTTTTTTTTTTTTATCTTAGGCAAATATCAGCTCTCTATAAAAAGCCTGTAAAGTTTTGAGACACCTGCAGTTAGCAATTCCATACCAAGGGGTTCAAATCTGTACCAATAAAATCAGATAATCTGCCCAGTATAACATGAGATTAAGTGAGGCTATTATAAAGTATTTGCTATACTTACATAAAGTTGGAATAAACTGGTCAGATCTTGTTGCCCCTCAAATTCCTCATCAGTCAGACTTAACAGGTGATCCCATCCAGCCAACACTAAACGGTCTGATAGAGCCTTAGCTTTATTTTCAATATGAATAAAAAAATATCAACAATGGGTTTCTGCATTACTGAACTGGGTTAACTTTAGAAAAACAAAATCTGTGTCTTTTGATGTCACTCAGCACTTGGGTTACGGCAGCACAAAGAGTTGCTTTCAAAATCTCTAATTACAGTAGAATTTATAAACACTGCTGGATCTTTGGTATCGCCGGCTGATTTTTATAAAATGCTGCTTTATACTGTGTATAGCTCCTATTTTCAATGGTAATAAATTACAAATAAAGTTAATCAACCATGACTGTTGTTTAAAACATTACTTACTGTACTGTATAATCTAAGTGGATGATGAATACAAATACAAATGCTTGTGTTGAAAATGTGTCTCCTTTATGATTCCTGCAAACACTCAGAAAACAGGAAATTTTAACTTTTGATATTTAAAACTTCTTCCTGTTACATTTCAATCGTCCACATTAAAAATATCTAGAAATAACAGGATTGTGATGACTGAGTGAAACATTAATTTCTGGGGGTTTTAGTCATTTGTTTTCACATGTTTTTTTTTCAACCAATAAAATATTTTTTGGTACCACTTACAACGATATGCATTGGAATGAAAAAAAAAACTACTTTAAACTTCTGGTTTGTTGTAAATTTGTTTTCATGATGTAGCTCTTTTGCTTATTAAGATTCACATTCACATATTAAAACTTCTAAATCACCAAGTTGGGAAAAAGTTAAATACTTTTATATTTTACAGGACCTGCCCTTTGGTTTTATACTGAAAACTAGTGAAACTCTCTCAGTTCTTTACTTCTCCATAATCACACATGTCAGAAACTTCAGAACTATGACAAGGCGAAAAATTTGCGACTATATTCTAAGTGAAAAAAATCTGATTGTTTTTCAATTTTTCTGCAAGAAATAATTTCTCGCTACATTGAGCACTTTTTATTCACGTTTTATCTTTTTTGTCTATTCCTGACTGAGGCCATGAAAAAAATCAAGTTTTCCTGCTAGTATTGTTAGATTCAAGAGGATACTCTACCATACAAAGTTTGATACCATTTATCTTAGTGTGTTGATTATTAGGTGCATTTTAGTGCAAATTTAAAATCTTCTTACTCAAAGACACTTTTTTAACATATTTTGCCACCAGAGAACAACGTGCTATCCAAGTGTAAGTGTAAGAAACAACAGAAAAAAGAAATAACATCCCGTTTGCATGCCCACATTAATGGAGAACCAACTTTGGAACATTTCTTATTATGTCAAAATGATAAGAAGAAACTCAGAGAACAAGCAGTTTACAAAGACGTTTACATTTGTGCTATAAGGTTTTCTCCTATCAATAAAAGCTTCTCAATGGACCAACTAAATGTAAACCAGAGAAAATGGAGCAGCGTTTCCTAAGGAGATCTAAACAAATCAGTGAGGGAACCAAACAGAAATAAACTACAAGTTGCATGACTGCAAAAGATTGGGTTACAGAACAAAGTATTAACTTACATTCAGATCAGAAAATAAACACTAATCTATAACTCTTTTGATGCTCAGTCAAACAAAAACCTCCCACATAACTAATCAACTGCATATTCTCTCCATTTTACAGAACAGAAACTTACTCAAGGAAAACTATTCATATTCTCGATAAGATAAAAAACAAATATGTTAGAAGATCAGTTCTAAAGTTTTTTTAGTATCTCTAAAGCTGTGTTATCATCAGATATATGGATTTTTTTTGTATTGCAGAGTTAAAATCAATGGCTTGAAGGAAATTCAAGCCATCTTTTATGGGCAGCATTCGATTTTTGAGCAGCAAGTTAGACAAACTCCTAGTCCTAGGAACCCCAGAATATTAATATGGGGTGTTTTGTGTTTTACTGAAGCAGTTTTACTGTCTCTCTGCCAGCCTTTCTGACCTTATGACAGACAGAGATTTAAATAAGGCTTGAAAACTCAAGGGAGGGGTTGACATTGCTTGTTAACAACAGATGGCGTCATCCAGAATATGTTACTATGAAGTTTAATCTCTGCAGCCCAGATATTGAACTGTGAGTTTTTTTTCCATATTTACTCAGAGATGTCACTAGTACTGTTTTGGCAACTGTTTACATACCACCTTCTGCTGTTGCCAACACTGTATGTGATGTCATCGTTTCTGTTGTTGCTTGGCTACAGAGACAACAGCTAAATGCATTTGTGGCGGTAACTGGTGATTGTAATCATGCCTCACTCTCTGCTAAACTGTCAACAATCCAACAGTTTGTTTATTAGCTGGTACACCAAGGAAAACAAAACTTTGGACTTTTTTTATGCAAATGTCAAGAAATCATACATCTCTTAAATAAGAACGTATCCTGAAAAATCAGATTACAGTCTTTTTTCACTGTTCAGAGTGTTCGCTCTTTTACAAGAGGGAACCAACAGAACTGGAAGAAATAAGTCACATGAAGCTAAAGAAGCCCTGCAAGGTTGTTCTGAGGCCACAGACTGGGATGCACTGTGTCAGCTACATGGAGAGGATGCAATGACTGATTGCATCCCCCCCCAACACCCACACACCACAAGTGTGAGATACTTCCCTAGTAATAAACCCTGTATCACCAGTGATCTGAAGAAACTGCTAAGCAAGAAAAAAAAAGCCTTCATGAAGTAAGATGGGGAATATTGAAGAGTGTTAAAGGTCAACATAAAACAAAGCATATTGGAGGAAGCTGTAAAACACACTCCAGGAACAATATCAGAGATTTGGTCAAGGATAAATAGGATCATAAGCCTCAAATCAAAAGGGATATCAGTAAGGTGGAAGTCTAGACAGAGCCAATGAACTGAACACATTCTTCAATAGGTTCAGTTCAGGAACAAGCTCAGTATTCTTCTCTCGTTCCCACAGTCAAACAAATTTACAGCCCTCCTTTGAAACAAAGCTTTCCTCTCACACCTCAAATGTTTTATCTTTCACTGCCATGGACCCTCCTGCTTCTATACATTTTTTCTTTAAAAAACTCAGAAGAGGCAACCGGAGACACTGAATCACAATAGGGCACCAGATCCATATAGTGTCAGTCCCAGAACCCGGAGCATTCCAGGAACTCCTCTAGAATTCTTTCAAAAAGAATAATTCTATTTAAAATGAGGAAAATTATGGACAAGGGTGAGCATCCTCTGTAAATGATTGTTAAACAGCAAAGTGTCTTCAATATAAGGCTGTGGTGTTAGACAGGCCGTTATAGAAAATCCTTTCTGCCAACAGCCAACATCTACAACCACTCATAAAAATAAAAAATAAAAAAAAAACCTATAAGTTATCTTTTTATTTTAATCAATTCAATAAAAAAATCTGTTTAGTTTATTTATGTGAGGTCCTATAGCAGACATGGGCAA